TTATTTAGATTTGTGTTTTCTGCACTCTTTACTCCGTATCTCCGTAACTGCTGGACCTGTCTTTGCCAAAAACTAATCAGCACATCTCCCTAACAATAAGAATCGAATGTTTTTTGAACCATTCAAATCGGTTAAACCATACCCCCGAAAACGTGGACGAAAGAATGCGGACATACAAAACACACTCACACATCCATTTTTTCTGAGGTATGGCGAAGTGTTCAGAAACCTTCAAAACGTTAGATTTTCGGCCTATTACTATAACTACCCTATGGGAAGTTAATAATGACTGATTTAGAGAAGTATTCCTAATCGCTGTAAACCATTTTGAAGTGAGAAACTATTGCAAATTGTTTTTATTTTCAAATATAGTAATTATTTTTTTCGAAAAATGGTTTGAATATTACACATTGATGGAAAACGAACACATACAAAATACGAAGCCGAATACAAACACACGGTGAATTTTTTAAAAACGCGGCCAAATAATCCAAACTTTAATTATCATAAGTAAACCACTTGTCGCAGGCCTTAATATAGTTTAGTACGTTCATTTAGAGCAGAAACTCTATCGCCATGCAAAGTTTTGCTTAAATCGCCAAAAAATAGCAATCTATTATGAAAAAGAAACGACTTGACCGATCTTCGCCAGAAACCATTTATTTCCAAATGATATCAATCGAATAGTTTAAGCAAAAACGATTAAAAATTTTTGACAAAAACATGGACGATAATTTCTGCACTTTTCTGTCAATAGTAAAGAAACGGATCGACCAATCGTCTCAAAAATCTAATCAACGCAAGCGCTTATTCAGTTCCATTTTATAGTTTTTAAATTTTAACATCGGTTCAGACGAGAAAACGTCGAGGAAAGATCAAATTTTGACACACGTCAAAGACGCAGATTATTTTTATAAAAATACACATATATAAGGTTAGGCGGGTCTAATTTAACTTTGAGCAATTATATTGTGAAAACTAAACGAAAAACATAACAACCAATCAGACATATCAAACAAAAAATCGTCTGACTATGTTTTAGTACAACTTCCAGCTAATTCATCACAAAAATGTGTTTTTTTGCTGTTTTTAAAAAAATTGTCACTTGGTCTTTTCTTACCCCATAGGCGGGGTAAAATCGGCGAGAGGACAAACAATCCAATTTAGTATTTTTAATTTTAAAGGGATTTAACGAAATAATAGCTACATTATTCAACCAATGAAAAATATGAATTTTATAGATACATTTTTTACAGAGATAACTCTGTATATAACCTTGATTCGATATTTTGTCCAAAATATTCTCCAGCAGAGTTGGAATAAAGATTTATTTAATTTATCTCTTGTAAAAATGCTTTTTTAACGTCGTAAGAATCAGGGTGATGGCTGGTTGTACATTTTTCCCTCTACTTTCAAATATTGTTGTTAAGAAATTCTTAACTTTACTTGTTTTTGAGATATCGGTAGTGGACCTTTTTACCCGCGAATCTTTTCGCCCCGCTCTATCTAATATATATATATATATATATATATATATATATATATATATATTAAATTTGTTACATACTCATTGAGGACTATAAAAACTTTTCAATTATGACTAGTGTTAGAAGTATCGAGGCAAAGTATCGATACCGAGTACTGAAAAAAGAATCGAGGCAGAGTATCGATTCCAAAAAAGTATCGTGGCAAAAGTATCGATACTACTCAGTATCGAGTACTTTTCATCAAAATCAAACCTAACAAGTGCAGAAAGATTTAAAACTCACTACAGATCGAATTACAATATTATGATAAATTCTATTGCCTGTATTTGATGCTGTTAAATCAGCATCATTTTCAATATTTTGAGAAGTTTAAAACAATAATTTTTTGATACTAAAAAAAAATGCTCATTAATTAAAAAATAGTATCGTTTTGTGACGAAAGTATTCATTTATGAATTTAATATCGGCTAATTTATATCACAAAGAAAAATACTCATTAATTAAAAAATAGTATTGTTTTGTGACAAAAGTATTCATTTATGAATTTAGTATCGGCTAATTTATATCACAAAGAAAAATACTCATTAATTAAAAAAAGCATTGTTTTGTGACGAAAGTATTCATTTATAATTATAATGTCGGCTAATTTTTATCAAAAAGAATTTATTATTTTAGAAAAAACAAGTATCGGCTTTAAATATTAGAATCGGAATTATAATAATTTTAATGGAAATACTTAGCGATTATAAAATAGTATTTATTTTAGAAAAAACAAGTATCGGCTTTAAATATTAAAATCGGAACTATAATAATTTTAATGGAAATACTTAGTGATTATGAAGTAGTATTTATTTTAGAAAAAAAGTATCGGCTTTAAAAATTAGAATCGGAAATCGAATGTCTTAATAAATTATTTAATCAAAGTTGGTTGCGTGACAATTTCGCAGATAACAAGGTTTTTGCATATAACATACAAAATTTATTATCGTTGATAAACATATGTTCTCGGAGGTAACAGAAATTATATTATCGACGTACGTAATCTTAAACTTTAATTCTTTTATTTATTGTTAATCATTGGCTTCGAACTAGGGGCATTCATAAACATCTTCTTTAACAAAAACCATATCGCACTCGACTTATCGCTTCTTTCGTTCGTTATCTATGAAGAGCGGTGCCGCCACGACAAAAAAGAATGAGTAGTGTTCATAAAATGCGGTCGAACTTTTGGTGGGGTCAAAAAATATAGCCGATACTTTTTGAGTAGAATCGGCGCAAAGTATCGATACCGCCAAAAGAATCGACCCGAAGTATCGATTGCAAAAGTACTCATTATCTAAATCAAAGTATCGATACTTACTCAGTATCGATACTATCGTTCTAACACTAATTATGACCCCCCCCTGACGCCGAAGCTGGATCCGCCACTGCATGAGTAGCTAGTTTTTTAAGGCTATTAACAGGGTATAACTTTTTGTGAGCTTAAGATGCGTTTTAATAATCTTTGCGGAAACAAAAAGCAAAATATGACGAAAAACTATGGGCCAATTCTGCCGTGAAATAGACCAATGTTACGTCCCTATCTTCGTATGAGGAATTGCTAGTCAAAATGCTATGTATTTGCTGTGCAGTCAATTCTAACATCTCGAATGTGTTATATGACACACCAGAACTATGCACTTATGACGATATTCTTTTTTGACGTTTATGCGTTAGTTAGGTTTTATATAAACGGCTGATTGCACAGCAAATACATAGCGTTTTGTCAGTTTTTAGTACCATTTTCTTTGAAAACGCAGCGCAACAAAGTTGCCATTGGTCTATTTTGCAGCAGAATTTGTCCATTAGTTATGTATTTCCATCTTCCAACAAATGCCAAACGAAAACTTTTTACATTTGGACTACATTAGCAAAACTAAAAATTTAATTGAATTTCAGGTTTGTTCATTCTAAGAGTGAAGCCGCACTAAGTTATATACGTTGTAGATTAAAATTAATAAAAAAAAAACTCAATACTTTTCATGTATTATTAAAATATGAGAATATACAAAGTCATTAAATGTTACATAAATACTTGGTATATATAATTACATGTATTGTGTTTGAGCAAAAATTATTTATTTGCTATTTGGACACATGTGATGTCTTCATAAATTCTGATCATACTATAGATTCCTTGTTTTTGTCAAGTCCAATATAAGTATACTCTAGCATATAATTTAAGATATATAAAAATCATCTAATCTTTTCTTATATTTATAATAAATATGATAACTTATTTTCTACTATCACTTTCAGGTTTCAATTGATCTACAGTTTTTTTTGTAAATTTAAATTACAGAAGTAAAATGCATTAATTGATCACAATTTTATAAAATGGAATGGCTGGATTCATGTAAATCCAAATTGTTATTGATTCTATAAAACAAGAATACAAATCACAAATTCAAGAAAATTTGCACAAAATTAAATTAATACTTCCTAGGATGCAGCTAACTAAGAATGACTTAATTAGGAAAAACCTAAGGTAATAGATTTTTTGGTAACAGCGACAATAGAACAGTATGCCACAAACACATTTCTAGATTGATCTTGAAAAGTGCCGATCTGCTAAATACAATGTTTTTTAATTGCATGAACCAGTCAATACAATTCATGTGGCGATATTAATTTGCATTACGATAAAATTTCTCAATCATGGTTTTTATAAGCACTTGGTATTTACAAACTACTACTGATTTCTTTAGAGTTTGGTTATAAGCGAAACCAACAATGAGAATAGCGATAATAATCTGGCACTCCAACAGATCAAATAAAAGTAGGATAATACATCTTAAAACTTATTAATATTATAATTAAATATAACTTAAATATATCAATCTTTATAAAGAAGTTAATTATTTGTCATATTATATATATATATATATATATATATATATATATATATACATACATATATATATATAGTTACTTTGGCCTGTTAATTGATATTTCATAACTATTCATAAAACTAGAGCAGCTTAATTTTCAACAAATGACTTTCAACTTAAATAATTATTTGTCGAATAATAACAGAATCAAGTATACTGCATCTTACATTAAATTTTATATATATATATATATATATATATATATATATATATATATCATTTTAGTCATTTCAGTGTATAATGGAAATTTGATATTGCTAAGTTTATCTAAGAGTTTTAAGTCTTCTAAATTAATAAAAATTAGACTATTAGTTTACATTATTAACAATTGTTTGAGTAAATAATGTATTATAATTTACATTATGTTAAACCACATTATACAACTTTATATCACATTTACCATGCTTCGGAATATTATCTTTAGAAAACTTGTATTACAGAATATGCTGTTTGGCAGTGTAATGGCTTTGGTTACCATTAAAAATGTAGACTTGAAATTACGTGCACCTATTATTAATTATATAGGAGAGAACTAATCCTGTAATGGCATTTTAATGTATTCAAAAAGTTATCAAGGGATTCCTTATTTAGCATTAGCAGTTGTGGAAGGTGGAGATGTCTTCTTTATGATTTCTGGAATCATAGTGTTGGGAAACGATGAATTAGACATAACTACAACACTTCCACCTGCACGGCCCACTAGCATATCACATACTTGCTTCCATTCATTGGTTTGAGGATTGTATTCCTCGGCTGCAGTTAAGTATTTAGATCCATCAAAACCACCAACTGCCAATAATCTATCCCCTAACACACAGACGCCAATTGCATCACGGCAGCAAGTCAAAGAAGCCATAGGAGTCCAGATGTTTGAGACTGGATCATATCTCTCTACTAGGTCATATCTACTTGCACTGGGATTAGATGCTGGCGCATCATGACCTCCAAGTGCATAGAGGAAGCCATTAACAGCTCCCACTGCAACTCCACCTCTTCTGATGCTCATAGAAGCACACATTTTCCACTTATTAGTATGTGGATCATAGCACTCTACTGTACTTAAACAACCACCGCCATCACGACCGCCAACAGCGTATAATTTTCCATTCAACACAGCTACACCAGGAGAATTTCTCTGACATATCATGTGTGCAACGTAGGACCATGTGCGAGCAATTGGATCCCAACGTTCCACAGTGTTCAAGTATGACCAACCATCATGACCCCCAATTGCGTATAAAGGTCCTTCTAAGATTGCAACACCTAGTCCGTGCCTATGTGTGCTCATCGGAGGTAGCATGCTCCAAGTCATGCTAACTAAATCTAAACATTCCACTGTATTCAGTGTTTTTAATCCATCTCTACCTCCAACAACCATGAGTTTATCTTTAATGATCACAGATCCGAACTGCAATTTTCGACCACTCATAAGACCAAAGGAAGACCATTTGTCACTCCACGGACAATATAATTCCATGGGAGTAGCTCCTCTTGTGGCATCAACACCACCTAATACGATTACTTTACCAAGAGTAGCTTTTCTGGCCCTTGACCAATTGTTAGCAAGATAAGGTCGCCTCTCGGGCAATAAATGCCATTTCAGTGCATTCACTACAAGTCTCTGACACTCCAATATGTTACCACACAAAACATCTACTTGATCAACTAAGAATGTTGGTGAAAGCAATGGAAGACGAATAAACTCTAACAAGCGTGGAAGATGTTTTTCTCTATTGGCTTTATCTTCATTCACCCATTCCATGAGTGCTAGAAAAACTTCCTGTTCTGAATTAACATTCAGATCATCACTTCTGAGCAATGCTGATAACTGAGTATCTGATAACCGCAAAAACTCTTCATCTCTCCATACTTGCATGAAGTTTTCATGAACGTAACTTATAGACTTCTTAAGGAGGGTTGGGCAAGATTGTTGTTCTGCAAACAAAGCAATTCCTAAGCAATTAGAAGGGTGCAATTGTTTTGCAAGAAATGTGCAGCATGCTTCAATGACATCATTAAGTTGCAACAAACATGCTGTTGCAAGTAACGTCTCCACGTTATCTTCTCGTAGCTCGATAGAACCCGTGTAACAATACTGCACAAGATTTTGTAGGGCATCCCCATCGACAGAGCATAGCTGAATTTCATTCTGATTTGCTTCCTTAAGGTTACCTGTAAACATGACAGAGAAGTACTCACTGCATGCTGAGAGAACAAGCCGATGGGCGGACACTTTTGTCCCATCATTGCCAGCAACTAATGTGATATCACACAGTTGTCCATTATTTAAGTATGCTTGCATTTTGATAAGACTGTTCTCAGCATGGTTATAGCACTTATAACTTTGCTCTTGGCTCGATGTGGACGACAGACTCAATTGGCTGATGTCTCTGGCTATTTTTTCTTCCTCCTGCTTATCTGCGGCTGCTTTCGTCATATTTGAAATGATTTAAACTGTTAGTGAGAAAATATCATATATTTTATATAATACTGTATATTATATATTGCCAAATCTTTTGCCAGATAAAACACTGTATGCTACAAGCATTTGAGAACAAGTTAAACGCACAAAGCCCACCATTCTATTGTTTTCTATTTTGAAAATTGTTGATGCATATGTCATTGACATGCGAGCAATGGAATGATTCACAAATGTTTTGTGTATGAGTGCATATCATAGAAAGGGATTCGGTATGAACATTTCTCAACCTTGCCGAAAAGTAACAGAATAAATCACACATTCTATGCAAAGGTTATTGAAAATATTATGATTTTATTTGATTTTTTCATTTTTAAAAACTATAAATGTTAAAATGTCAACATCAAAATTACACATCAAATACATGAAGTTATTAAAAATGTAACGGGGCGAATTACAAAGCCACTTTTAATAAACGGCTACTTAATTAACCTAGAGAAAAAACTTTATAATTATAATTAATTTACCTTGAAATAGCACCCGCAATCTTTTTTCCCAAAATTACAAAACAATATAACTTTCTATAATCACTTCGGGAACAGATGAATAAAGTTGTAACGAGTGGTCACTTTAAACGACTTGACGAACATCGTACGCGTTCGGTTTAGCTCGCGGATCGGCGGGTGTCAAACGACAAACGACTGTCAAACCGTGTCAGACTGTCAGATATAAAAACAAATGGCTACGGTTACTATTGCAACGTTAGAGAAAGCAATTAAATATTGATAATAGTGCAGATTTCGCAACATTTATTATGTACGAGTCACTTTCAGTATAGAACTAAACGATGACATCACCCAATATTATGCTATGTTATATTACAAGCAGTTGACATATATTATATACATAACCTAACCTAATTTCTGTTTTTCAAATAAATAACTAGATTAAATATTATCCTAGTCGGTAAGTTATGGGTGGATTAAGAATAAGAAATACCGCTGTCTCTGTCAAGAGTGTCACAGCGTTAGATGCGTTTCCAAAAGTTCCTGAATCATATGTGAAGACATCAAAGTTAGGAGGCACACGTATGTCGTATTCAATGTTTATTTAATTGATTAAGTCTTAGAACATCAAAAATACGTTTTTTATTTTTTTTTATCATAGTTAAAAATTTAATAATATAAAGATTTGCGAGGATTCTGTTTGGTGTTATTGATATATTCAAATTATACATTCGTACAATGGCATTCTTATCATTTAAACTGACAAAAAATTAATATTTTAACTGTAGTGCATTTGGATACCATTACTTATCTTACAAAGCTTGACATAGTACTAAATATGTGAATATATACAGAAATATTTGAAACAAATCTTGAGTGTGAAGATGAAGGGACAGGATGGATATTATTATAATGTAAACAAATGGAGTGCGCAATCGCATAATAAAATCAACAAATGTGAAAACGGATTAATTTATTGAAGAAAGTAAGATAATTGAAAAAAAATATAAATTATTTATGATGTTTATATAAGAGTCGTGTAAAATATTTGTGTCGGTTCTCAGATTTATGCTATTGTTAGTCTGAACTATTAACGTTGATTATGCCATATGGAATAAGATTTGGGGATTATCAAAATCAAGCTTATGGTTGTTGATATTATAGCATGATTTACAAGCAAGATTTTGATAATCTCCAGATCTTATTCCATGAAAAAGACTTATTTAAAGAAATTTAAAGAATAAACTAAAACTTATTTAAAGAATCATTGTTAATAGTTCGGACTAACAATGGCGTAATTCTGAGAACCGACAAATATTTTACATGACTCTTATATAAACATCATTAATAATTTATAATCTTTCTCATTTTTCTTACTTTCTTCTATGAATTAATCTATTTTCACATTTGTTGATTTTAGTATGCGATCGTGCACTCCGTTTGTTTACATTATAATAATATCCATCCTATCCCTTCATTTTCGATACTTAAGATTTGTTTTCAAATATTTCTGTATATATTCTCATGTTTAGTACTGTGTCAAGCTATGTAAGAGACAGTTTTTTTTTGTTTTTCACAAATTAAATGTAATTTAAATAAAATATTAGATAATGTGTTAGTATATAATTAACTGTTTTGAAGTTACACTGAAGATGAGGCATACCATTGTCTAGAAACGTCTGTAATTACCAAATAAAGTTGTGTTAAAAATCTGAGTGTTGTATTGTTCATATTTAACGTTTAATATTCATTCCACTCATATTACAAAATTCTATATATATATATATATATATATATATATATATTATATATATATTAGTTAAAATATATTAAACATCTTCTATTTAGTCTGAGAAAACTAGACATTTAAGCAAATAGAACTTAATATTATAGTCTTATATTTACGTTGTGTTTTGTTTTGCAGTTTCACTGATCAGTTATATATTAATATCATGGTTGCTGTATTCAGAGTTAAAATATTACTATACAAGCAGATTCATATTCAAATTTGTTCCGGATACTGATATTAACTCAAAGTTAACTGTTAATATTGATTTGACAGTTGCAATGCCTTGTGCACGTAAGTTATTTCATTAATTATATCCTATAATAGAATAGAAATTGACATTAATATCAATATGTATATATATCTTGATAGCTTTTTTGATGTTGGAACATATTTAAAAATAATTAGCGGTATATTTATCGAATAACAAAAAAGTGTCAAAAGAAAAAGAATCTTTATTTTATTAATTATACGTTTTGACGCTTGATATGTGTTATCAGCCAAAAATTAGGACCAAAACAAAAGATTCTGTTGTCAACTCTGAACTGTTTCGCATCTTTTTTGCAGGGAGATATCATGTCTTCTGCTATATTTTTTTATTTAAAGTTTTAGTTATGTGTTGATTTTTCTTATAAAGTTTAAATACATATATTTGTTAAACTTAATTTTATTGTATTGAATTTTTTTATTTTGTTCTGGTTGATTTGCAGAATGATGGCACAAATCAAGTGTCTAAACATATAATTAACTAGTTGGTTTGGTATTTAGCCTTGAGGCAAGTTACATGAACTTCCCGATATGTGTAAATAATTGACTTAATCAAAAAAAAGTGTAAATAATATACTTCATCAATCCTACTTTAAAAAACGATAATAATTTTAGTAAAGTTTGACGAATTTTTAAAATTAAACTACTTGTCGTAATGCCGTAATATTACAGTAAGTTCTATAAGACCATGATGTATATTGCCAAAAAAAAGTTCTATGAAAATCGGCTTAATTTTTTTTTTTCAACAGTTCATTACAAGAAAACGGCTCGGTAGATTTTCACCTAAAATTAATCAGTACCATTCCCAACTAATATCTTTCAAACAGTTTTTGATTTTTTAAAATCGGTTCGGTAGGATGAGCTTAAATATGGACGAAAAGTTTAACACTTTTTTTTAAATTGCAAAGAAACGGCTTGGCAGATCGTCGCACAAAACTGACAAACGATAGTCCTCACCGAAATACATCAAATGGCTTTTAAATTTCTGAAATCGGTGCAGGTGCTTTTGAGAAAACGTTGATCAAAAGTCTAATTTTGACAAATGTCAAAAAAACGATACCAATTTTTGCAAACTTTGACGAATTTTTAATGCTAAACGAGTTGTCATAGGGCCGTAATATTTTAGTATGACCTAGAAAACTATGGTATCTACCGTCAAAAAAAAAATCATAAAAATCGTCGAATTTTTTTTTTTTTAAAACGTTATTACAAGAAAACGGCTCGGCCGATCTTTACCAAAAACTAATCAGCACGATTCCCAATCAATATCTATCGAATGGTTTTTGAATTTTCAGAATCGATTTAGAATTGTGGGCTAAAACGTGGGCGAAAAATTTTTCACTTTTCTGCAATTTACAACGAAACGGCCCGGCCGATCGCCGCACAAAACTGACAAACGCTAGTCCTCATCGAGATACATCGAATGGCTTTTGAATTTTTAAAATCGGTCCAGTCATTTTTGAGAAAACGTCGATTTACGGCAAAAAATCTGTTCACATACACACACACACACACACACACATACTTTTTCCAAATTTGGTCTCATTCGATTCAGAATGGCTTGAAACGTCGAGAAAACATAAAATTAGCGAATCGGATTTTTTGATGAAAACATAAACTTCTCCTTCGGGAAGTTAATAAAAAATGTTTTTTTATGACTCTTTTATTTTATTCAACAAAAAAGAATTTATGGTATGTTGAATTAATAATAAGTTTCAAATCTTTGTTATATTTTGGTATAGATATTGGAGCCGATATTCTAGATTCTACAAACCAGAATGTTTTTGCTTTTGGAACTTTAGAAGAAGAAGATACTTGGTTTGAATTGGCTCCAGAGCAAAGAAGTTATTTTGATTATTTGCAACATTATAATTCATACTTACGTGAAGAATTTCATGCTCTTTCGGTAATTATAGGAATAAATATTTCATTTTTATGTGTTAGATTGTAAACATTATATGCGGTAAAGATTGTAAATTGAAGATCTCATATTTCTAACTAGAAGAATTCCAAATAATGAATAAAGAATTACATTACCATATCAGGAAAAATTTCAATATTTTACTTGATAATTAAGTCTTGTTCATATTTTACTTGATAATTAAATCCTCATCGACTATCGTAAATCCTATTTGACTGATTTTAGCTTTGAACTTGAACTTGTAAATGAAATATTAATATAACTTAAATATACAAAAAATAAATTTGGTATTATTAATTATTGCCATAATTGTTTGTTTAGTTTTGTTTGATCTCCTTTAATATCTTTAAACGAATAATCATGTTATATAAAAATCTGATAATATTACTTTTGTGAAGGATGTTTTGTGGAGGTCCGGTCAATCTGCACTACGTTTGAATATGCCACATAGATCAGTCATACCTGATAGACCCAAGGATGCATGCAGAATATATGGATCATTGACACTCAATAAAGTAAAAACTATTTATTAAAACAATCAATAATCATTTAAAATAATAAATTTTGAATATTATTAGTAATTAGTTATGGAGTGTATTCAATATGAAATTTAATTTAATTTAATTAATTCCATTTACCATAATTCTATGGATTTTGAGATATAGAGTTCATATGAATCATAGATATGGTATTGACAATTCTGTCTTTCTTCATGTTCTACATTTAATCATATTAATACATTTTATTTTTTCAAAATAATATATGTGGATGCAAATTTTAATCTTTGTTCTTGTTTCACAAATGTCAGCATCAATTTGAGAAGATCAGAAATTGTTTCTTATTTCCAATTACATTTCACAAGAGGATCGATGTGCTGTAATTATAAGCTAAGAGTGATCACCTTTTTGTTTTTTTCTTGAAAACTCACTCAACTTTAGAAAATTGTTAAAGTAAAATTATCATAAATACAATTTTTTTTTTAAACGATTTATGGTTGGCAAATGCTACTTTATATATAACTATGAAATTTAATTGAGATAAATTAATAAAGATTTCTTTCTCTAGGTAGCTGGTAATTTTCACATTACTGCAGGGAAAAGCTTACACCTACCGATGGGTCATGTTCATATAAGTGGATTTATGTCCGAAGCCGACAGTAATTTTACACATAGGATACACAGGTTAAGTTTTGGAGATGATAGTCCTGGAATAATTCACCCTATGGAAGGTGATGAAAAAATTACTGCAAATTGTAAGTTAGGTTCTGTTTTTATCATGTTATTCTACTACTGCATATTCAGATACAAATATATATGAATAATAATGCTCTAAAAATAATTTTTAGCTATGATGTTGTATCAGTATTTTATTGAAGTTGTTCCAACAGATGTTGAGACATTTTTGGGGACTACACAAAGTTGCCAATATTCCGTTAAAGAACTTTCTAGACCTATAGGTAATTTTCAATATATATTTTAAATTGTTATTTATTATTTAAAAAAAATCCTATTAAAATATTTTTTTAAATTGTTTAGTTTCTAATTAATCTAATGTTTAAACTTCTATATTTTTGCAGTATAGAGTTGCTTTATTAATATTTTAGGGACTAAAATTATTATAAAACATACTAATATTAATTAAATTTTTTAATCAAATAGGAAAGACCATAAAGTTGTCTTAATATTCATCCTTTATAAAAGTTATCAATGTATTTAATATATCTAATATATTTGAAAAAAAAAAGCCCAAGTAGAATTGAATTCATTCCAAAATCCTAGTTATACCTTTATTTATATTAAGTGAAAGCATAACTATTCTTAGGAATATCTCTTGGCATTTTGAAGTTAAAATATTATCATTAAGATCACATGTCATGGGATCTATGTATCTATTATTGGTGTTTTTGCCTTTTATTGCAGATCATGCTTCAGGTTCTCATGGTATAGCAGGTATATTTGTAAAATATGATATGTCTGCTTTGAAAGTTAAAGTACAACAAGAAAGAGATAGTTTGCCTAAACTATTAACAAGGCTATGTGCAACAATTGCAGGGATACATATCACAATGGGTAAGTAATAATTATTCAAAAAGCTTATGAACTATTTCATATGACTATTTTCCATTCTGCAGAAAAAAGAAATAATAACCAAACAAAGTTTCATTTTGTTGTTATGTCTCATTTTGACATCATATTGTCAACTTTTGTGGTTTTAAAAAGTTTCAATCACACATAGAAATTTTTGTGCTATCTTTTTTTCATATTAAGTATGGGATTTCCTAATTATTTTGATAATGCATTTTTGTTCCCTAAATTATATATATAATTTTGAATAGTCTTGAATTTGATGTTGATATAATTTATTTGAGTTTAAAGATCGGGCATTGCAAAATCTATATGTTTCGACTAACAACATAGCTTTCATTCAGTGGAATATTTTTTCAATTACAATCATTAAACTAAGTACATAAGTTCAAGAGAAAATAAATAATAGTGATAATAAACTAATCTGAAACACATACAATTTGGTATCTTTAATTAATGAAACACTATTGCATCATGGTATCAAGATGGTTGCGCTATTGTAAAAATTATATATTTTAGCATCACAATAAAACACACAAATAAGCATGTATAAATAAATATAATCAATAACTAATAAATATTATACATGTTTATTTGTGTATTTTGTTGCAATGTACAATATATAGTTTTTACAATAGTACACATATTAATACCACAGTCCAATCGATCACATAAGGATATTAATGCTTTCATCTCCTTAGGTATATGCTTGGTAGGACTTTCACCATAATTCCCTCTAATTAGTGCATTAATAAATTTCAGTATTCTCTATTAGCTACAGAAGTAGTATTATGTCATTAAAAAGTTGGTTCACATATTTTTTTCTTAATTTTAGGACTGATAAACAGCCTGATGCATAGTATATATGATTTTATTTGTTGTAAGAAAAGTGTTACAAATGATATTAAAAAATCAAAGAGTGATGCAAAGAGTCCTCAAGTTGATTTATTCAATTCTGCGAATCTCATAAATCTGTAAAAAAATTATTTATCTACAAAATAATATATATAGATATATATGAGTAAGTTCTTCAAGGGCATACATCAAATAAAAGGCAAAGATTTAGAAGTTAATCTTTAATTTTTTCAAACGTTTCGACATAGTATTTTATGTCATCATCAGTGGATATCAGTAGCTAGCGCAAGGCACATAATTTTGCACTATCATATATACACCAACTTAGCATAGCAACAGAGCATAGCAAAATATTTGTGAAATATATAATATATTTTGCACAGAGAACGTAGTTTATGTGACCGAGCCCGAGGATGTATGCCCTTGAAGAACTTACTCATATTTCTCAACATCAAAACTAACTTCTTTAACATATATATATATATATATATATATATATATATATGTATATATATATATATATATAGGTAACCCTGCATATAACACGGTAGCGAATCCGTTATATATGGGCCACAGGACTAGTGAAAAAAGAGATGTTATGTTCCAAGGATTTACAAAAACATGCTACATCTTATAATTTTATAATAAATATTATATACATTAATTTTTTTTAAGAAGTTATACACATTAAATATTTTTTTCGTCATAACTAACAAGTGCTATCCAATGAGATCGTTTTCTTTTTGGCAAAAAATATACAGTGGTACTCCGCCTTACGAGCTTAATTCGTTCCGTAAGCACGCCCGAATGTCGAATTGTACGTACTTCGAAGCAAATTTATCCATATAAATACATTGAAATGCAATTAATTTGTTCCACCACAGTGTTTTTAATAATAATAACATTTATTGCCAACATCAAATACATACTCTGCAGAAACATATCAAATGTCTAAATAAAAAATGACTAAATTTTTATGATTCTAGTTTTTGAGTTTAAAACAACTATCCATTGAGCATAATTTTTTTTCCAACTCATTTCAACTCAGCTGCAACTTTTTTGGGGTAATTTTTATCCACAAACTTTTCAACTTTGTTCCACATTGCACGAACAAATGCATGACATTAAAATTAATGAATTGATTTTTTCAACTTCAAAATAATTTTAGTATTTGTATGATCCATAAAAATACTTGTTACAAGAACGTTCTCACTCGCACGTTTTCAAATACGCTAGGAGAAATTCGCTGCTTTGTGATACAAGCGGCATCGCTTCATTGGCGACTCGCTCATATCACGAATTTTGCTCGTATAAAGAAGCAAATAAGCCGCGCCTTCGGTGGCTCGTATCTCGTACAACACCTACTTTGAAGGTTGTTCTTTTAGGAAATATGACTAACTGTTCGGATAAGTCTAGATCTATTGTTCGATAGAACGTACGCGCTCGAATAAAAATGTTAAATGTGTTATCTTATGCACTAGTTTCTTCAAATTTATTGAGCTATTGTATGGCGATGTTACTAATTTTATTTTAGCTAAAGTTTAGTTTTTATAGGTTTACTATATTTTTTATTTTATTAGAGTTTTGCTCAATTTTCACACAATATTATAGCAATCCTGTGCTTTAAAAGTACTGTGTTATAAAGGGATGATCTCAATTCTCGAATGGTGTTGTAGCGAGTCCGTGTTATGCGGGGGTTTACCTGTATATATATATATATATATATATCTATATCTATATATATATATATATATATATATATCTTGGTAGTTTTTTGGCGTTGAAACATATCTGAAAATAATTAGCAGCCCGTTCGTCGAAATAAAAAATGCAGTTGAAAAATTAAAGAAATTTTCTTAAAGAATATATATATATATATATATATATGTATATATACATATATTTATATATATATATATATATATATATATTTAATATTGTTTTGTGTTTTGTGCTTTTGTTCTGGTGGTATGTATAGTTCTTCTCTCTTTATATATTTGTTTTTAATTCCTTTTATTCTATCATTATATTGTATTTTAGATTACTGAATGATGACACACATCAAGTGTCAAAACATATAATAATAAAGGAAATTATTTTTTCTTAACTATATTTTTTATTTCGACGAATGGTTGCTAATTATTTTCAAATATCTATATATATATATAGAATATAAATATATATTCTAAGAAATAAGTATATATTCAGATATGCTTTCGTAAATGTTATTTTAAGAACATAAAGAACATAAAGATTTTTTATGTTCACGAGCAGGAATAATTTTTTAAAGTATAGTCATGTTGAATCATAGATATTATATATGCATATTTAAAATAATACTATTTAATCATATTTTGTATTTAGAATATTTTATACTTTTGTAATAATAATCTATAATTTTGTAAATATGGGTTATATACTCCTTTATTATACATTATATTATTTATTTATACTGTTGAAGTGTATATATATATATATGAGTGAGTTCTTGAGGGCGATACATCAAACAAAGAAATCAAGAAATTTCTTTGTTTGATGTATCGCCCTCAAGAACTCACTCATATATTTCAACATCAAAATTAACTACTAAATCATATATATATATATATATATATATATATATATATATATATTAGATGAATGAATTAAGAATAAATAAATTTGATGTTGAAATGTATGATTAAATTTTTGGAAGGCGTAACATCAAGTGAATAAGAATGTAAAATTTTTTAAAACGTTTTTATTACTCCATACTTTTTGACATAAATTTACAATTTTAATAGTAAAGAGAAAAAAAACAAAATTAAAAATTAAATGTAAACAACAAAAATTAAATATAAATAAATGAAAAGCTTAATTATTAATACATGCATGTACAAATATATTTATATATACACATACACATACAATATATGCAAACATGCATAAATATATAATTATTATATCAATATCTATTTATATACATGTATATATGTATATTTGTATGTACACATCTATATATGCATATATATGTATATATATATATATATATATATATATATATATATATATATATATATATATATATATAGAGGCAGGTCTTTGAAATTTTCATGTGAGATTTTCAATTTTCCTCTTACATTTATATGTATACTTTGAACGGAGATATGTATTAATCGATATATACTTTTAACGGAGATATATATATTGTATATATATATATATATATATATATATATATATATATATATTGTATATATATATATATATATATATATTGTTGTTTCAATAATATAAATAAGGTAAAGATTTTTAAAACATCTTTATTTTTCGATATGTTTTGACGTAAAATTCTACGTCATTGTCAGTGGTTTTGAAATTCTTAGATTATCACTTACACATATTAATACAGCTTGTAAAAAATTAATAATTGGAAACAAGCACCAAATGTCAGTAATTTCTTTTTCATAAAGAATAAAAAATAATTAATAAATAGAATATTATACGTAAGCACTCGTGTTTCGAGGCAGGCCAAACAAGAAGAAATATATATATATATATATATATATATATATATATATATAATTTTTAATTAGTTTTATAAATATTTAATTTAATTAAATATCCTATAGGTTTTTTTTTTATTATTTATGTATATATATATATATATAACATGTATATGTATATATATATATATATATATATATATATATATATGTAATATTTTCAATTTACTTTTAATTCTGATGATGTTGCAACTTTTATATGTATATACGCTTCGGTTAAAAACTGGTTGAATCTCATTTCAAAGTATATATCATACGGTTTAAACATAATTTTTAAATTATTTTATTCGTGTTATGAAATGAAGTAAACGCATATTTGTACAAGTTGAAAAACCTCGACTAGCTATATTTGAAGTAAACGCATATTTGTACAAGTTGAAAAATCTCGACTAGCTATATTTGATTCTCTGGTTTCCAGCCGTTAATATTTACATTCCACGTATTTGTGGTACTGTTAAATTATAATAGATTGTGATATTACACTTTTAAATTAAAATATTATGATGACTATTTTTTGAATAAAATTTGAAAATACATGAAATGTTTAACTATTTTTATTGGAAATGTGCAATAAATTTTTATAGTTTTTTCAATATGATGATGTGATCATAACTGCATTTGTTTTGTAGCGTAAATCATGATGTGATCCAAACAGAAGGAAAAACTATTTCGCAATCGGAAAGTTAGAAATAACGATCGTTATTTATAAAAATGTCTCAGAGTATTTGCCACCAAGATTTGTAAGAAATGAGAGCGAGGAATTACATGTACGGAAATAGGGAGTTATCGGCCTTCATAGGCGGAACCATCAACTGAATCAGACTGAAATTGAATGTCACTGCTACTTTTAGACTCGGAAATCGAACGCGGTATGTTGTCGTTACAAACAATAATATATAATAATAATATATTATTATATATAATTATATATATATATATATTTAATATTTATATATACTAATATATATGTATTTGTATATATATGCATATACATACAAATATATAAATAAATTAATATATATATATATATATATATATATATATATATATATATATATAAGTTGAGAGGTTTTTTGAGATGTTGAAATATTATAATACATTTGTTCTTGTGCGTCCATCGATTAATTGAAAATATTTTATTGAAGTAAAATGTTTTATTGCCAAACGTTTCGGGTCCTGATTTGACTCATCTTCAGTGCATACAAATAATTTAAAGAAAAAACAAAAAATCCGGAATATATAATGCACCAATTACTATACAATTTTCAAAGCACGAATTTTAAAAACTATTAAATTAAAATAAATATCAAATTAAAATGAAATAAAGGAAAAGTTTTTTTAAAAAAAAGAACTCTTCTCATCGAGACATGTTATATGTTTGGGAAAAATTTTAATAGTCTTTTAAAACTATTAAAGCTACAAAATTTTCGTCGACGATTTCTGGAACACGGATCAACTGATTTGAATAATTCAAGGAGCATTCGATTTCCATTGATAAGGAGACGTGCTGAGTTATTTGGTAAAGGCAGCCGTTTTGAAGATACTAGGCAAAAAGAGCTAAAAATGGTAACTCAGTTTTTGATAGAACGGAGCGTCCGATTTAATAATAATTTAAAAAACATTTTATTTGTATTGATAAAATGAAGTACCGTTTAAATTTTTGCGGGGGCTGGTCTAGCGGTTTTAGAGGTCGAGTGAAAAAAGTGAAAAAAAGCTGTTTAGCGGTAAAAAATGATGCACATCAAATTATCAGATTGTTTATAGAGATTTTAATAATTTTTAATAATTTTTTCTATCTTCTGAAAAAGCTGTTGATTACTAGTTTAGACATTTTGAATGAATCGAGTGATTTTTTGTATAATAATCTTTTAGTGCAATCAGTTCTCGGGAATCTTTTAGTGCTTCCCCAGGTTTTCCGATAAACGAAAGTGTTTTTCCCCATTGCTGCATGGCAGTACGAATGTAGTCGTTATCAAAACAACAGCTTTGACGGCGGCATATGGTGACTTTCTTCTTTCGTCAAACCACCATCGGCTTACTTTGACGAAAAATTGGGGAGTGCATGGCATCGTGCCATAAGGCAAATTGCAGAAACTTTCCGTACCGTAATAAAAAATCTTGATACGAGACCCAAAAAAAGTTACACAAAATGTGTACACATTATTATAATCTCTATAAAATAATCTCTCTGAAACGTAAAAATATATAAAAATTTTCATTTTCCATTTTTTTGCGATTACTATAACTTACCCTACGGGAAGTTAATAAATACATATACATATTATCTCACTACTTTAACTATATTTGTTCATACAAAACACTATCGGTATTCGTTGACGAAAAAATAATTACACGTGATATCGAACTATACCCTCCCTTTCCCCTTGTATTTTGTTTTCTTTTCCAATTTTTTTCCCTTCTTTTCCAGTTTATGTGATTAATGGACGCCTCTATAACTGCGGTTTTCGTTCATAGCAACCAACTCCAATTCTAGATATTATTATATGTATATACGCACATTTTCCAAAGCATAGTTAAAATATTTATTTGTTTATTAACTTTTCAGTTTGCTTTAGTAACATTATTTAGTAAAATTTAAAAGTATAAATATTTGTCAAATTTATTTACAAAATCATTAAATTAAATGGTTATTCAATAGAAAAATAATCAATAATTTTCCCGAGTGTGATATCGTTCAAATAATTGATCAATGCAGAGACCTACGTTACTTTTCTTGAATTCGTATCTTGTTTCTTTCTCCTTTTTCCATTTTGAACACACAACACATTTTCGCTTTTATTTTAAAGTCCTTTAGGAGTGAACCATTGCGATATAAAATGCCTTTCTATTATTCGCAATTTTCGTTATTAACTGTTCGATGTATCATATCTTGTGGGTATCTTTGTAGCATTTCTTTTGCACAAAAAAAATTTAATTTGCTGATTTTTTCTTTTTCCCAGTGATTTGTTTATAAATAATGTGAACGTATGTGTAGAGACGGTCAGGAAAGCATTAGCGAGCAGACGTCGTATCAATATATATATATATATATATATATATATATATATATATATATATATATATATATATACACACAGTGGTACTCCGCTTTACGAGTGTTTCGAGATACGAGCCGCGAAAGAAGCGATTTGTTCGTACAATGTGGAACAAAATGAAAACTTTGTGGATAAAAATCACCCCGGGAAAGATGCAACTGATCGAGCATCACAATTGTTTGACGAAACTTGTCTATCTCATTTTCACAATACTATAATAATTTTAAGAGAAAAACTAGTAGGGTGCATGGCATCGTGCCTTAAGGCAAATTGCTGGTACTTACCGTATCGTAACAAAATGTTCGAGGAATATTAAATATATTCAAATAGATTATTGTAAATACTGTAACATTGTCTAATATTTATAAGAATTATATAAACAAAATTGCAAAGTTGAAATTATTTGTTTAAAGTATATTAATTAGATAGAATTAAAATAGAATTAACATTAAAATCTGAATTATTTTCAATATACAAAAAAAAAATTAAAAAAAAAAAATTTGAAAAAAAATTTTGAAACAAATTTTTTTTCGAAAGCAATTATTTTGTTGAAACAAGCAGAAAGTTCTTTGAATCATTCAAATCGGACGCTTAGTTCTCTCAAAAACTGCCATTTTTTGTACATTTAGCTCTTTATCTTCGAAATGGCTGAACCTGCCCTTGCCAAAAAGTAAACATTCTCTTCCAAATCATAACAAATTCAATGTTTTTTAAATCATTCAAATCGGATACTCCGTTCTCTCAAAAACTCGATTTGTATTTTCTGCACTCTTTGCTCCGTATCTTCGTAATAGCTGGACCTGCCTTTGCCAAAAAGAAATCAGCACATCTCGCTATCAATAGAATATATTATCAATAGAATAATCGAATGTTTTTGAACCATTCAAATCGGTTGATCCGTGCGCCTGAAAACGTGGACGAAAAAATGCACACATGCAAAACACACACACACATCCATTTTTTCTGAGGTATGTCAAAATGTTCAGAAACCTTCAAAACGTCGAAAAATGCAAAAAGTTTCATTTTCGATTTTCGGCCCATTACTATAACTACCCTACGGGAAGTTAATAAAGCTCATTGGATAGATTTTTAAAAATATTAGTTGGAAAGTTGAATATTGGTAAAGATCAGCCGAACTGTTTTTTCGTTATTTTTTTAAAAAATATTTTTGTAGCAATTAAAATTATTTTTTCAAGCATCTTGAAATTCTAGATAAGTGTAATCAATTGATTTAGTCAATTAGAATTGATATTTAGATACGTTTTGAATAAAATTTGCAACTTTAAGGCAACTTGCTCCTCACTTACAAGTAGTTTTATATAAGCTTGCATATTGTTAATTTAAACTTGACAGCATCAATATGAAGTAATTAAAAATCACTTTATAACGGCGCATAAATGAATGAATAATTTTCATTGTTGCGAACGCTGCCGTGGGCTCTTTGACTATGAGGTGTACGAATTACCACATGATGTTGCGAATTATCAAATATTGTTTCCAGCTCAAGTCATATCTGTTAAACGGTCCGCCGTGCCCGCATCGGACTTTCAGTTCGCAGGCTGACGCGAGAAAATCAACTTGTGTCACGGCAACTGGGACAGTATCACCTATGAAAAATGAATTTGGAAAAGTTGTTTGTGGTGATCCTGTGTCTGTGCTTGGTTGAAAGTTCAATTTGTGCCACTGTCATCTCAAAAGATGATCAGGATTTATATGAGCTATCTATCATACATCTGAATGATTTTCACGCCAGGTATTTTCATAATTAAATTGACTATGACGTACGTATTTGCCGAATTGTTTATATTATTTCTAACCTACAATTAGACAATTGCTTGTATTTGAATAAAATTATATAAAACATACGTTAGCGTCCTAAAGTCTTAAAAGTGCATTAGTTCATTAGTGAGAAATAGGAGTGCATGCTTTTAGGATACTTCTTTAGTACCCAGAATAATAAATAAAAAATATTAAATCTAGTTTAAAATCATTTTCTTCAATTATTGAATAGTGAACTTATTTTAATTTAATTCTTATTTATTTATATTTTTGTTATTTGAGCTCTAGATATTATAAATATTATAAATATTGCAAATAATGAATAATTATGACCATCAAAATTCAAATTTTTATAAAACATATTTCACGTAGTAGGTGCTTTTTTGTATAAAAAATTGAGATTAGACGGCTTTCTCTATCCAATTTGTTATCTAGTACGACAAGATTATTACATTTGTAACTATTGGGTTATCATTGACTAAATATTTGTTTTTTTTTAATTTTTTTTTTAAATTTTGTGTAATTATTTGAATACAGCAAAAAGTTTATTTAATAATTATCAATTGCTTACCATTGTCAATTTACGTTATGTTTTTAAATGCCAGATGGGTTTTTTTTTATCACAAGGCGATAATTATATCTGAAGTAGTTACACATGTACTTTAATAAAAATAGATAGTAACTACTTCAGATATAATTATCGCAAAGAAAAATGTTTATTTATTTGCATGCATTTTTCATTGCAATTTTTTTACATTTTTCAAAGTGGAGGTGTATGTGCACCAGAACAATTAAAAAATTAATTTTGTTAATTAGCAATAAATAAAACTTAAATTTTTGTAATTGAATATATTTGAT